ACGGATGCTGCCTAGCTGAAGCTAACATGAATCATGCGACGTGGATTCATTCTAACTATCTCAAGCAGAGTGCGTTGGCTAGAATCATATAACTCCGCCCTCTGCATCACCGCTAACTGTTTCTTCGTTTTATACTCTAAGCACCATAACCTATCCCTCCTCTCAAATTCCAATCCTTGCAGCTCGGGGGTGCATGTCGGCAACTACTTATCGGGGTGTCAGATAATATATCCCATATTGGCGGTAAAAATATCCGCATCGGCAACGTTAGTTCTCAGAAGCGTAACGAAGCCCGCCACTAATCAGAAATGGGGCATTAAAAAACAACTCTCCTGTGAACCGGGACTATGAGATGAATGCTAAACCCTCATTCCGGGATACTCGTTTAGAAACGTCGTACAATTCATACGCGACCCTGCATGCGGTCAGCAGGTCGTGCTTGGTTCCACTGCAAGAATCACTACAGCGCCTTGGAGGTTCAGTAGAGGTAAATAACAAGACGCTTCTTGATTGGATATAACGGATGGTGAAGGGCTGTTGACTCCCTGAGTTGGGTGGGAAGAAAGTATATGCTGTAACTACATACAACCCAGAACCGCCAGTGATAATTTGCGGAAGCGAAGGAATAATCGTGCCGCTGCTTACACACTCACCTCTAGTGAGTGCGTGTCAGGAAAAAGAGGTCATACATGTTGGCCGTTACGGCCGTTGCGGTTAGCGATCCCACTAGATCACGTGACCCACCACTATATCATGTTCTTGTAGATAGATCTATCAATACAACCTTCAACTATTCTACAGATTATAGCCTGAATGACACATTTTTCTTCTTAGAACATTATATCAATATTTTTAACATGAATAGTTCATCTTTTTTGAAAAGACTTTTACTCTTTATTAGAGATATTTCATTTTCCCTGAATCTGCTGATTAGTAGATTTATATACTTTATATTTTTAAGAAAGTATATTCTTCATTGTAAAGAATATTATTTTTTTTATATATTTAAAAGAAGCAGAGTTATCTTGATATAAGTAATACATCTATTACTTCAGAGTTCAGCTTAAGATTCAGAATCACACACTCTACTAGATAACTCATTAATAGAATAATTACTTATTATGAGAAAGTTTCTGAGTTATAAGATAAGACTGATGTTAGTTTTCATCAGAGTATGAAATTTAATAATAAAATGATAAAGAAGTTTCAGAATAAGAGAAAGCAGAGTTAACATTTATCTATAGAATCTTTTAACTTAATAAATTCTTCATTATTTCTTATCTTCAGAATACTGACTTTTAATAATAATCTGAATTAATTTATCTATTACACTGTAGACAATCTTATGAATCTTATACAGATAATACTCTGAAATTAAATAACTGCAGTTAAAACTACTTAATATCTCACTATATCTATTTCTGTATGAAGAGATACTATAAGAGATAAGTTATAGAAATATTAAAAGAAAGTTAAATATATACTAAATATTAAATCAGTGATTATATTTAATAACTCTAATTATAAAGTCTGATATATTGATATATTAGCTGATATAAAAGTTATTAATGAAATTAATATTCTATTAAGAATTTAATAAGAATTCTCTTTTATATATTATATTGATTCTGAGAAGTGAAAGATTCATTTCAAGTCTTTATATAGATATATACTATTAAGTCTTATTAGAAATATTTAAATTACTATTAAAATCTTGAAAACTGATAATACTATGACTCTGTGAGATAAGATTAATATTAAATATATAATATCACTAACTGAAGAATGAGTTAATATCTTCAAGAAATTGATAAAATTATAAGTCAAGAATAGTGACTATCTTACTTTTCAGAGATATTTCTGCTATTTTATTATCTGTTATAAGAAGCTCTGTTAGAGTACTAAAGATGTATATTATAATCTTTTTCTTAATAATCTATAAGATTATTAAAGACTGTTTATTAAGATATATTTAAATAAGTTTTTCTTCACTGATCAGAGACTCATTGTTAATATTAATATTAATAATTTAATAAAGTAACTAATTAATCATACATTTAAGAAGATTATTACTAAGTGAAAAAAGCAGTCTCAGACTAATTCTGTGACTGTGAAAAAGAATAAGAATAAAAA